ATCGGAATACAAAAAGGCAGACTCCGATATAGGAAAATGACTGAATTATGTCTTTGGTTTAAAGTTTTTGGAACCCGCGAAAGTTTTAGAGTGCTTTGTATTTGATCTTATGAGTATTCTTCCAGTTGATCCTAAAGTAGTTCAATTTGCTGATAATCTAGAAGCAAATTAAATTGGTGATTATGCGTCATTTCCACTAAATATTTGGACAAGTTTTTCAAGCAGCATTCAACGTACAACCAATGCTTGCGAGTCTTTTCACGCTAGATTTAATTCTTCATTTTATAAAACGCATCCTTCTCTTGAATAGAATCAATTTTATAGATGATACAATTAAGAGATATATAGAATTAAGAAGGTTTACTTTTGTAAAATGTATGGGATATTATTATAAACAAGACCATAATAAATAGACCAAACTACATCTTAACAATGATTTTTAATTTCCTTCACATTCTTCCTAAACCAGCAGGTACAAAAGTGCCCAAATATTGAAAATTTGCATCTCTTGGGTAGAGTGCCCAGATCAAGGATCGATTTCAAGTAGGGATTTATAAAAGGTCGTAAGGGATTAACTTGGTGCCCAAATACAATACGCCCGGTATTTTGACACCCTAATCTTTCAATCTGCCTACTGCTATAATTGTGACTATACGGTGTGTTTCAGATTGGTGCTACATGAGGTCGTTATAAGAAATTACAGTAGGATAGAATTTTTGACAGAAAAATCAGGGTTTGCAAACAACCTGATAACTTCTCGCCAACTGTCATGGTCAGACATTTTTTAAAAAAAATTAACATAACCTACAAAATGCTACTATCTTCACAATCATTTATAAATGGGAATTAATTAATTTTTTTTATTGTAATATCAATTTTTGTTCTTACTTATATATTTATATTTGCCGTATACTGCTTGTTCTACAATTTATTGTTATATTTTTAAATTTTGACAAGTTTGTTTCATTTTTATATTTTTACTAATAATTTGATTAAATTTGTTATTGACCGAAAACTGATCAGTGTTTACATACTTACAACCTTTGATAAAAATATGAATAGCTCCACACAAGTAACCCAAACAATCCAGAAAAAAATCTTCTCAAAATAGTATTATTTTAATCGAAAAACACGTGCATGCAATATATGTATCATCCCCTCTATGTCTACGTGCGCTTTAGCACACAATCCACATAAAAACAAAGAATAATCATTACTGAAGATCTTACGTTACTCATTATTACGTTTCTTTTCTATCTCGCGAATAAGACCTTGATCTATGTCAGTGTTAATAATTAATTTAAAAACTGACTGAAAGAATTTTGATTAAAAAAGCAGTATTTTCTAGAAACTTGATTTTAAAATTATTTTTTATTATATTTTATATATGTGGTAGTATCAATTTTTACTATCCTATCTGTATACAGATAAGGAAAGTATAGGAATCATGATTTTTAGTGGAACAAAAACTATGCCTGGCAGAGATATTTAGAAAATGTAGATGTTTTCAAAACGAACAATTGCAAATGAATTACAAACTTTCATGCTCGTGACACAAAAACCTTGTTAAACGCTGTACAAAAAAAATAGAAAACGTTTAAATGTATTTTAAATATTAAATTATTTGGAGTCAATTGACAAGTAAATAAACCTGTAAAACATTTCAAAAATAATAAAAATTGAATTGAAAACGTTATTACTTCAGTTAATGTGCGCTACATTAAATCAATTAATTATTTAATATTCTTAAAAATAATAATTTGCTTGTCACGTGAATTTTGATTTAAATAGAGGATATTTGAGTTGCTCTGGCCGTAAGGCCTTTCCAGTGTTCTATTTAAAATAAAATAATTATCTTATTTTTTTTTTTTTTTGAAAATTTATTTCATTTTATGGAGAAATTATCCCAGATGCTTTTTTTTTGGAAAATTATCCCATTTTTTTCTTCAAAATTACTTGAAAATGTTAAAAAAAATCCTTTTTTTTTTAATTAACCCTTTGCCGTAATGTAAAAAATCATTTAAATCGCCTCGTTTTCGTAATTATTCCTTAAAAAAATTAAATTTTCCAAAATTGCTCCACTTACCCATTTTTTGAAGCTACACCCTTTTTTCGGGACCATGATTTTTACGTTTTGGGGTTCCCTGAATCCTTTTTGACTATTTTCGCGATGATGTCTGTTTGTGTGTCTGTATACTCGGATAACTGATGAACGGATACAGAAAAAACAATTTTAAACTTAAGGTTTAATTTAACCTGCGGTAGGCCATTTCAATTTTGGGCATAGTCTTAACATCTGGGGCATACCTTATAGAAGGTTGTTTTTCTACTTTATGTAATATATCTCTTATTTACGCTAATAGAAGAAAATTCTTCAAATAAAAGTTGCTTGTAATGTTACTCTATAATTGTTGTTTATACATAATTTTCCTAAAATGGTCCGTATTCAAGAAATTTGAGAGAAAGGTAAAATTCGAATTTTTAAGAAATATTTTTGCGGTATAATTTTTGTTCCATACATAATTCATCTAAAATAGAGCATAATTGAAAAATTTGAGGTAAACATGTAAAATTTTAATTTTTCAGTATTTTCGTTGGCAATGAATATAAGTAAAAAGTTTCAAATAAGATTTGTGTGGAAAGTTCATCCCCTAAAAATTTACAGGGATATTAGAATAGCTTGTACAAAATAACTTGTAATAATTAGACAGAGAAGTCATGTGTTGGAGACACACAGATATCTTTTTCCAAAATTACCTTAATATTAAAAAATATATATTTTTTAAATAAATTACCACTTTTCCATAGTTATTCAATTTTTCTTTAAAATATATCAATTTTTTCAAAATACCCTACTTTTCCAAAATTACCCTACTATTTTAAAGCTACACCTTTTTTTTCATAATTATTTGATTTCTTTAAAAAATACTACAATTTTTTTGAAAAATTAACTGACCTTTTTTATTGTCCCATTTTTCATTGTTTTTTTTTTATTTTTTTCGAAAGTGTTATTTGAAAAATTAAGTACTTCTCTTTTGAAAATCACCCTTTTTTTAAATTAGCCAATTTTTTCCAAAATTATCTCATTTTTCAAAAATTATTTCAGGTTTTCCAAAATAATCCCATTTTTATAAAATTGCCCCACTTTTTGAAAAATACCTTATTTTTTCCGAAACTACACCTTTTTTGTAATTATTTAATTTGTTTTCTAAAATAATATAATTGTTCAAAAAGTACACAATTTTTTTCAAAATTAACCCAATGTTTTTATTTTTTTAATCAAAATAGGGTCATTTTTGCTTCGCTTTTTCCAAATCTACACCCTCTAATGTTAAATCTTTTTAAATTTTCTCAATATTACTCCACTTTTAAAAACAATTACCCCATTTTTACTTTCCTATCTGTATACAGATAAGGAAAGTACCTATAGGAATTATGATTTTTTTCGACCTCGAGTTTTCGACGGATTTTTACGTTTTGGGATCCCCTGAATTCGTTTTGACTATTTTCGCGATATTTCTGTGTGTGTCTGTGTGTCTATCCACGATAACTCATGAACTGATACAAAAAAAAAATACCAAATTTTAAACTTAAGCTTTATTTCGACCTGCGGTGAAATGATTAGATTTTGGGCAGAGTCGGAACATCTGGGAGGGTACTTTATATGGGGTCATTTTTATATTTTATAAAATATATCTGTTATTTACGTTTGGACAAGAAAATTCTTTAAATAAAAATTACTTTTAATATTATTCTCTATAATTTTTGTATGATACCAAATTTTCCTAAAATGGTCCGTATTTGAGTAATTTTTCAAAATGTAAAAATTCTGATTTTTTAAGAAAATTGTTAAACTAAAAGTTGTTTGCGATATCGATCTCTATAATTTTTGTTTATGCATGATTTTTCTAAAATGGACCGTAATGGAAAAATTGTAGGAAAAGTGCTAAATTTAAATTTTTCAGTATTTTCATTTTCAATGAATATCTATAGAAAAATATTTCGAGGTAGATGTATGTGGACAATGTATATATTTAGTTTATTCTCTAAACATTTATAGAGATGCTGCAATAGGTTGTACAAAATAACCGAAAAAAGCCTATAATAACTAGATAGAAAGTCATGTGTTTTTCAAAGTTATGCTCTTTTTTTGACTATATTTATTTAAATTTTTCAAAAATTAATTCGATTTTTTCAAAATTACCCCACTTTTAAACACAAATACCCCAATTTTTAAAAAAGTTACACCTTTTTTGTAAAATTTACTCCAATTTCCCCTTAATTTCCTCCTTCCTTCCTAAAAAATAAAACAAACAAATTCCTCCCAATTTTTAATTCTCCACTCCATTCTCCCCCTTCATTCCTTTCCTCTTAAAAAATACCCCAATTTCCCCAACTCCTTAATTTCTTCAACACCATAATTTCCCAATTGTCTCAAAAAAAAACCTCATTCCTCCCTTTCCATTCCCACAAAAAGATCTAAAAAAAACCATTGAAGACATTAGCAATTCTAAAGACATCAACAATAATTCTAAATATAGACAGAAAGATTTCAATTTTTGTTTTAATAAAATTAGAGATATATTAAAGAATTCAATGGTTTTTCCATTTCTTACTATTCTACTTAAATAAGATTACTAATATTTTAAAAGAAATCAAAGCAAAAATCTTCTAAAACTCTTTAAAAAAATTTAAAAGTCTTTAAAAAATCTTTAAAGATATTTTAAAAGCGTGAAAAACATTTAAAATCCTTTAAAATCTTTTAAAATCCTTTAAATTCCTTTAAATTCCTTTAAAATCCTTTAAGATCCTTTAAAATCCTTTAAGATCCTTTAAAATCTTTTAAAATCCTTTAAAACAATTTAAATCTCTTTAAAATAACTTAAAAACCTATTTATATTTTTTTATTTCTTAGGTTTTTGCAACCCTAGTGTGTCTACGTGAGGTCTAGCACACAAACGGCAAAAAACAAAGAACATAATCGCAACTGAAGATCTTACCTTACTCATCGCAAGCACCTTTCTTTCCGATCTCAGCTAATAAGACCTCGTTTGATGTCAATGTTAATCAATAATAATAAATTCACTATATCACCGAGTGGATCTCTGCTTTCTAGTCAGTTTAAACGCGAGCGGTTCAAGAGGAACTGATTGCACAGTAGACAAACGTTGAATAATATAACAGTACCCACCATGGCAGTGGGTCAGATGAACTCTTGAATACCGGTACCCGCTGGCTGTTGCTATTTCGAAGACGCGAGGAAGTGAATCTTGCGGTTTTTCACTTTCTTTGCCGGTGGAAGAAAACTGCATATGGATTATCATGCTAAGAATCGAATTTTAGTATCGGCACTAGAGATGTAAATCCCGAAACTTTTATTTTATTAATATAAAATGTGAAAGCTCTTAAACGAATTTAAAGTTCGATTTTTTCTGATTCAGAATAAACTTTAATAGAAAAAGGGTTTAAACACAACATCCCTCTTAAGATACATGCTTTGAATTTAGAAATTTTTGGAATAGAAACAGAAATGGCTTGAAGAGATTCATATAACACTTTGTCTCTTAAATATCATACTACAAACAAAATTAAAACACTTTTTTACAGAATAACAATTCAGATCTAGATAGAAGTCTAATTAAAATTATACAGGACAAATCAGAACAGGATGATATCATTTCCACTCGTGTTGATAAAGAAAATACGATAATTTCACAAAGAATTATGAACAACAAATGTCATACTTTTTCTTACAGTAACAACCATAGATTACTAATGTGAATAGATGGGAAACTCAATGGTAAAATTCTGAGTCGATGTGCTGCCATCTATCAAATTGGAGTGGTACTAAAATTCAATATGGCCGCCACGAGCGGGCTTTTTGAAATTGAACTTTGTAGTAGCGCAAAAATGTAATGAAGAAAATCAAATAAAGCAAAAAAATTGGAAACATCTTTGACTAGTTTCAAATCATAAAACAACCATATTGACTGTTTTGTGATTTGAAACTAGTCAAATATTTTGCCAATTTATATCTTTATTTGATTTTACTTCATTATATTTTTGCATTAATTTCAAACTTGAAATAAAATGCAATTTATTTTATTTTTTTTATTATTACAGTAAATTAACGCCGCATCATATAATTTGTCTATATAAACATGGAAATACTAAAACAAATATGCATTTACACCATTTATATAATTAAATATTTATAAAACAAACCTATCAAAAATGTTTTCTGTAACAAAATCAGCATATATAAGTGCTCAAGACCTTTATAAAAGTTTTGCGACTTGGAGTGGCAAATAAGTTTGAAAAAATTGAAGTTGAAGAATCATCCTTTTTTACTATCCAGGCAAATTTGAGTGTGGATAAAATTTGCCATATGGTTATCGAGTCGACTAGTTAGGTTGAGGAGCATTTCTTCATCCGATAATTGTTTTCTTGATTCATTTATACAGCACCTGTATTTATCAAATTTTTATTCATTATGTGGGCACTGTGATAAATGAATTTAACTTTTGAGCATTGTAATAAAATATGAGAGTATTAGCTCGAATAAGCTTTATTCATATAACTCTACAATATTATTTCAAATATCACTTATGTCAAACTTGACAATACTGTCCAAATCTCATCAAAATCAATCATACAGGATGATCTTCTACAAGCATAAATTAAACTTACACACCTTTGGATCTTGAAGATTTTAGGGTGTTTTCTTGTTTGATGTCAATGGCATTGAATCAATTTTTGATATTGATGGTTGAGGCTCAAATATTTCATCGATCGACGGCCAACATTTTCTTTACAACAATGATCATTTAAAAACTGAAAACAAAAAGAAATTTAAATAACAAACCAATTATTTTAACACTGAATCAAAAACAAGTGTTGTTGAATGTGTTTCAACTTAGTGTGAGTTTATTATTGCATAAAAATATTATGTGAAAGAAACTGTGTGACGGTTTTCTACCTTTTTATTTCTTTTCAAAAATTACATGACATGGACATGTTGTAGCTATGATTATAATACAAATGAGTCATGAAGACACTAACTACAATAAATATGCTAATCCTAAACAACAAGTTTGTAAATATTACTTACCGTGCCAAATAGTGATTGTGGATTTTTCTTAAGACAATTATTACAAATTATTTGGTTATAATTAATATGACGACTGCATATTTAATGTGGTATAAATTGCATCACTACCAATATATGGGAGTGCTTTATTGTTTGTTGCTGAAATCCATTTTTCCGTCGTTTGAAAACATACTTAAAATTGGAAAGTGTTGAAAAATAAATCTAGATGAATCAAAATTCAATACACCTTCAAATAAAATAGCCATTTTAATTTCTCAAAGTTTGAAGTTTTGACGAGCTGACAACTGACATGACATTTGGATACGAGCGTCATCCTGTTAATTGGAGTGGTACTAAATTACCAACCTCATGTTTTTCCATTTGAGTTACCAGCCCCTGGTAACAACTTAATAATAATAATAATATTTAGTTAGATATTCTATAGAGGTTATAACATCTGTAATCGATGGGTAAAATAATATAGTGTGTCAATTTTTGATGATTCTAGGACTATTCCGGTTTTTCAAAAATATGTTCAAAACTATCCGAGTACTAGATGACCAGTGGAAAGTTAAAAAAATTTACGCAATGCATAATTTGATATTTAATTATTCCACTGGATCCCGGATGATTTGCAGTACATTTTGAACAAACCAGAATACATCTAATAGCTGTTTTTAATTATCACTTGTTATATAATGCTCTATTAAATGTTGACTGGCACTTCCTTGCAAATATTGACGACTCTAACGTAGCAGTGCAAAGTTTCTATAATAAACTCTTGAAAGAAATTTTAAATATAAATATCCAGTATGATATACAGGCGAAATTATAAATCTAATAAAGTATAAATCTAAAATACATAGGAATTTTAAAAGCACAAACAATATTGCTCACTATCAGGAATTCAGTAAACTTAGAACATTACTTAAACAAAAAATTACTTTAGCATATTCACAATACCTGAAAAATGTCCAAGCCTGCTTAGTAAATAAACCTAAATCTTTTTTGGTCTTTTGTACATCAAAAAAATAATAGTACAAGAATTCCTGAAACAATGTAGGTATTGTGGTGAGGAATCATATAATAATCCCCAAGATATTGCAAATGCTTTTGGAAATGTTTTGAAAGTGTTTTTCTTTGGTAGATCCAGATGATGCAAAACTAAATTTCAACTTTTACAATGGTAATTTGATTGATATTAGTTCAGAACCTATATCTGAAAAAGAGATAAATGATGGTGCTCGTAAATTAAAAAATTAATTTTCTTCTGGTTCTGATAAAATTCCATCATTTTTATTAAATGATTGCATTAGAGTTATATTCTATTCCCTCAAGACACTTTTTAACCTAATTTTAAAAACGTCAACTATTCCAGATAGCTGAGTCTGAAAATCGTAATGTGATTAACAATTATAGGCCCATATCCATACTGAATAACGCAGCGAAAGTTTAGAATTAATCTCGTATAACCGCATATACTATAAAAGACATCATGTCCAATCACCAGCAAGGATTCATGAACTCAAGATCCACAATAAACAACTTAGCGACATTTAGTCAATACTTGTGTGAATCATTAATTAAAAGAGGTCAGGTTGATGCGATGTATACTGATTTCTCCAAGGCTTTCGACAAAATCAGAACAAGTTCTATTAGGGGATGAAGCCTATTAATTTTGAAAAAATCTGATTAAAACTGAGGGGTATAAAGGAGTTGATTAAAAAAAATCATTAATAAAAAACAACAAGCGATATCAATATGAATTTTTTAGTAAAAATAGAGCTCTATAAGGGGATAAAGCCTATTGGTTTTAAAATAAAACTAAATGGGAGTTAAGGGGGTATTTAGTCTAATCAACAAGTTCAAAAGCGTGTTTTTGGGACATACTATTACGAAAATTATGTTCAATAGCTCATTCGATTCGGAATAATTTCTAGATCAATGTGTGAAGAAAAATTTTGCAGTGCATAAAAAATTGCAAAAGTTATAAACAATTAAACACCTCAAAAACATGGTGTTTGGTTTTGCGCCTATAGTTTGTAAACTATAAATATTTTTGGATTTTTCAAAAAAGATCCTTAAAGAGGAGATAATTTGTTATAAATAAGTTTCGACTCCTGGAACTGTACCTCCATTATTTATAATTTTAATTTAACGCTCAAAGTAGCCTTCCGCGCGCCACTTTTAGGTTGCGCGCACGGCGTCGAAACCGAGTACGTTACATAAAATAATTTTTTTAAGTTAATAAAATTAAATTCAAATATTTAAAAAAATTACGGTGTATTCTAAACACTTAGAAGAATTCATTCCCGTTGAAATTTTTCATAAAAATGAATTTTCCAACAAAGTAGGTTATTGTTAATTAACAAAATTTTTAGAATTTCTCTCATCATTACAAATTGATAAAAATATTAAATAATTACCGTAATTTTTTTTGCTTCGTGGAGCTCTTTTTATATACATATAAAACAAAATAGCTTCATAAAAGTTTAAAAAATGTTAATACTTTGTTTATAATAATTTTTTAAAGTTTACAAAAACAGAAGTCACAGTGGTGCTATAATAGTTACTTATGCAACAAGTGTGTAAAGTTACCCTTTTTTGACGAATGTGAATGTTGTCGCATGAGCCGTAGGCGTGTACACACGAGTGGCATACAATATTTTTTCTACTACCGTACACATAATCCACTAATATTAGAAATATAAAAGTTACTTTTTTTCACTAGTGAAAAAAGTACTTTACTTTACGCACTAGTGAAAAAAAGTAAAATGTGCCAAAAATTGTACACAGCAACAAAAGTAAATTTATTGGAACTTTACAAATTTATAATTCTTACAGAACAAAATGACTAACAAATAAAGAAATATTTAAAAAAATAGGTTTTTAATTCTTATGAGTATTAATACTGAATGTGCAATTATTGCAATAACCAAAACTTAAGGTTTTGGCCTTTTTCAGCACAGAGTTTAAAAAATGTTGTGATATTACTTCTGTAACCCTATTTTGAGCTTCGAGTGGTATGGATTTGGCCTTTTCAAATAAAGAGGTTGAAATATTTTGTGTAACTCTAGTTTCACTGTCGAGTTGT